ATGATAGTCGTATCTATCGGGTAACAATCCGGTATCTTTTAGGGTGTTATAAAGACTTTGGCACACAAATTAATTAGGCTGGTATCTTTAACGGTACAAAATGGCGACAATGTTTTGTTTTTGAAACAAATTGATTACTTGAAATATCGACTTGTCGTCTTTTCAGGGAGGTTTCGTCACACGCGCAAACTACTTTATGCATTACAACGAATGGATTATTGCAAAGTCAATAACCTGGTCACATGACTAATATCTGTAGGTTGCCTGATTTTTGAAATTATACGTTATCGGCCAATCAGATCAAGCTTGTGATAATAATAATGTATACCAGTAACAACAATATTTTGCAAGMAATGACTTCCACAATGATTATTGTAATTATAAAAAACACATGACATGGTATGTGACTCGATGTTTTAATAGTTTTTGACAGAGTTGTACAATAAAAATAGTGCAAGAGGAATGGTTACTCGTTTTTCTAGGAAAMGATTKCTGAGATACAGGGCGTTGATTACAATGGTATAAAAGRTAGCCAAAAATCCTGTATTATTCAGTTAATAAAATTACTTTTTGTTCTCAATACCATGATAATTAAGTCTACTCATACGCTGCATCAAGCCTATCAAAATGCGGCCCTCTAGGTCTAACAACAACAATTATATTAATTACCTTTTGGTAAAACGAATTTCTTTTTGAGATTTTAGCCGTATAAAGTCATTCAATTTATGACAAATTTTTATGTATTTTACAAGATAGTTTCACTGAGTGTTAGTTAAAATAGTGCCCTTTCCTGCCATGGATTCTAATGATCTCAACCATGTAGTTTGACAACAGCAAGCCGATACACCGGGCGATAATAAACTCCTAGACCTACTGTGAAAGCCAACGTCTTACACAAAGTGTTTTCTAGCCGTTTAATTTCASCCTTCAGTGAAAAACGCTTACAATCCTTGACCAGTCGTTAAAGCTGATGTCTGCGATACCACAAGGTTGACCGTGAAAAAAAAGATTTTGCTCTATTTTGAATGTCAATCTCGACTTAGAACRTAAGGAACATGTAGAGTGTAGAAATATTTTATTGACATGAAAATCTTATATCAAAATGTCAAAAAAGATCTTGTTTTCAATTTTCACAAATATTGACAATAAAATGGAAGAGTTGTGCGTATAATGCTTACCTGTTAGGATCCATTTCGTAGTTCTTTTTGGTTTAGCGAGCGATGATTTCTCACCAACTTGACAACGACCATGAACGGAGATCGAAATCTATCTTTTTAACGCCAAACCGGCTACTTCTACTTTTCCTTTTCTAGAAATGGAACTAAAACTATATCATTTCGCCTTTTGAAAGGCTGGATAATTGAACTAAAAGAGGGTCAAACGTTTTTACTAGTTCATTTCGTGTTTTCGTAAATGTTTCGTCGCTTTCTCTTCCAGTTTCAGAGTCCAACGCTTTGACAGGGACTACAATAGCTGTGTCTTGACCAACGATATTATTCCTACGGTAGTGTATTTGAATTATTCATCATAACAATGAAAACATCTGTCGAACATTGACTGAATACGCTCATTTACATATGTCTTACGTCTACATCCGGGTGCTCTTCTGAAGTGCTAACAAATCATATTCACCAATTCAATAGCCAATCAGATTTCATCCTTGCGCACTCTGATTTTGTTAAGTATATTTGCTATTTCAAAAGCATTTATTTTCAACATTACTTTTTCTTTCGTAAAGTTCTCAATTACATTGAATTTTCAAGCAAATTTTGATTGCAATTGAAACTTTTTTTACTTATTTTTTTGTAATCAAAGAAAGGATGAGAGAAAATTAATGTAGCTATAGTTAACTATTTATAAACACAGTTAYGTTTTATTTTGTCCAGCTGCGTTTTGAGATCTCAATATTGCACGTGACGCCACGGTGGCAATGCAGGTTTACCAAATGAAATTCAAGGCACGGATGAGAAACCACACGTAATGTCATCAAAACAAAATAATCGTGTTTTTTTCTCTTGTATTATAACGCATATTTTACGCGATTTGAATTGAGAATCGAAAAAATTAAAGCAATAAATCAATTGTGCAATTTTTCGTCTAAGTGCACAGGTATCCCAAGGTTGTGTGGTCTTTAGCAATTTTTTCGAAATACACCTACTTGCGAAAACGTTGTCATAAAAAAATAAGACATTTGTATTTTAGTAAAAAGGAATAAATTTAAAAGACAAAAGAAGATCACTGAGTCTGAACGCTATCTTTTGTTTTGTTTKAMTTTATTCCTTTTTACGAAATTCTAATGTTCTATTTTCTATGACARCGTTTCTGCAAGTAGGTGTATATAAATTTCATTCAAAAAYTCATACATAATTAATGAGTTATTAGGCCAAAAAAAACACTCCTCATTGATATTCTTTATATAAAGAATACTAATAAGGGTGACCTTTATCAGACATAAAGGTCAATGACTCTAGCAAAGGTCTCGGTTTTGATACCTGATCATTGACCAATGCACGAAGTCAATCGATTGCATTAAACGGTCAACATCGGTTCTATTTTACTTTATGCGTATTCAATGTGGGATGACAAGAGTGCTTTGTAAAGTAATTCGCACATGATCAGTTTGCCCCATTTACCTCAAAACTTATTTTTACGGCAATTTCTTCAAAAATTTTAACGGATTTGAGTTTCAAATTAGTGTTGGRTATTTTTAAGCCGACAGAAAGGCGACTTTGATTATTTTATAGGCATCTTTTATTTTTTAAAAGTATTTATTTTCTTGGCCTGAGAGGTCAACAATTTGAATTAAAAACGTATTAGATATCATGATATCACTTAGCGACATTTAGTCTACCACGTTTGATTTTATCAGTTCAGTTGTAAGGTAAAATAAACTCTGTTCGCAGGGTWTAAATTACATGACCTTTTAGGTCAAACTTAGATTTCTATCGTTTTGAAGTCGTTTCAGAGAGCAGTCAAAAAAGAATATCGTATCATGTGAATAAACGGTTTTGAACAGCATAGCTAATTCGAACTTAGAGGTTGGTTTGAGGATTTGTGCTGRTTTTAGAGGTAGGTTTTCGTATGGCACCCATTTTGGTAACGGTGTGCTGGGTGAAGGACTTCACTAAGTTGTTAATGAAAGAAAATCGTTGATATAACCGAGTGACGCCCGGTTAGCTCAGTCGGTAGAGCATCAGACTTTTAATCTGAGGGCCGTGGGTTCAAGTCCCACATCGGGCGCTGTCATTAATTTTGATGATTTTTTGAGGTCTTTGGTATTGCTCACATTTTGGTGACGATGTCTTGGTGAAGAACTTCATAARGTTATCTATTACTGAAAGGAAATCGTTGATATTATCCTAACTAGCTAGGTTATGATAGTATCAAGTTAACTAAACGTACAAGTTTCAACATTTCAAAAAAACGTTTCCACTAAAATAATTACGCAATACAAATTTTACAAGTTTGGTGGGCATTTGCGCATGATCRCTCATCGATCGGCGCGCGCCTTAAACTGCATGCACTTAYCCATMACAGTTTAGAGTTGAATTCTTCTTATTTAAGGATTTAATCGAGTCATGCCCGGTTAGCTCAGTCGGTAGAGCATCAGACTTTTAATCTGAGGGCCGTGGGTTCAAGTCCCACATCGGGCGCTTCCATTAATTTTGGATGATTTTTGAGATGTCRGTTTTCGGTATTGCCTCCATTTTGGTGACTTGTGCCAAAGTGCTGTAAATAATATTAATACTATATTCCAATAGATCCTATATTCGAGAAAGTGAAGTCACTTTATCCAACATTAGGGGTTGAGAAATGATGGAAAAGGGCAGAAAAGTTGAYGATGTCCCCCYCTCAAACTTAAAAAAAATGCCATGCTCCCTAACATAACTGGAAGATTAGACTATACCCCCACCCCCTTCTATACTAAGTATGGTCGAACTGACTTTAAGCTCATAACTGAAATTAGTGCTCCTTAGCTCCAGTGCCGCATTACACAGTGTTCTACTTAAGCTTCCATTCAGTCCCAAACTCGACTAAATTAATCTGCTTAGCACCTTGAGGGACATTTTAGGCTCAACACGAGAATCACAGTCACCCTTTATCATTTATATTACCTTTATATTATTTACTCAACC